GATCGAACCCAGTGCCTCACACATGCTGGATAAGTGCTCTGCCTCTGATCTATAGCCCCAGCCCAAAAGCAATATCTCCTTAAATATAAAATAATGAAAGATAAGTGAAGTAGGACTTCTGTCCAAATTTCTAGATTACTAATGTCTGCCAGACAATCATGGTGGGATAGTGTAACCAGGAAAAACATATACTAAGTAGTTACTCTATGGCAGCATACCATAATCAATTTTCTGAAAAGATTATTATATTTTTGTGGCTCAACTTACTGATTTCTCATTTAGACTACAAGTCGCAGCAAGCAATAAGGCACCTGCCTCCCTTCCATGAAAACGTTCTGACAACGTACCAATGATGTCATCAATGATGTCAACAAGTTATATTGTTACTATTATACTATATTATCAATGGCTCCTCTTCTTTTACTCATTCCTTTAGTCCTGTAAGACCCAAGGATTAAGTTGCTTTACCACTATTCTTCTATAGTGCTCTCAAGGATCTAACTACTACCCCAGCACAAAAGACTACAGATATGACCCCTGAGTTTTAGACTCCTACAAAGATGATGCAATAAACTAACCTGAAACTCAATATGCTGAAAACTAAACCTATCATCTTTGGTGGCTTTACATTCCCTATAAAGTCCAAGCTTTTCTTGTCTGCCTTCATTCTTGCCTGTCATTCAGATTAATTTTTCTCAATGCCTAATAAAATAAAATTAGCACCTGATATTTATTGAACGCCTATTAAATGCCAGGCACAGTTTTTACAATTAACTCACTAATCTTCACAGTAATCTCACATGGAAGGCAAGTATTATCTCTATTTCACACTGAAGAAAATATCTTGCCTAAGCTAATAAATGGTAGAGTCAGTTTAAAACATAACATATTGTGCTCTTGCCATGAAATTTCCTACTGAAAGCTACATACATTCATTATTATCATGGAGACAGAAAGTGAACATGACAAACAAGTCCACATTCACATGGAACTTGGAGTCTAGTAAGTGAGCAGAAGAAACAAAACAAAGAAAAAGCTTCTTATATAGACTATTAAAAAGGGCCAGGAAGAAAATAAACAAGATTTTATTATAGAAAATAAGACAGGTAGACCCACTAAAAATGATGTTGAAAGGTGACTTCCTTGAAAAATGATTTATAAGGTAAGACCTAAAAGATCAGAAGGCACCAATTCTATAAAGAGGAAAATATACCCAGAAGGCTTTGGGTTGTAAAAAAGCATAAAGACAGTATAACTGGCTGAATTTGTGTTTCCTCAAAATTCATGTATTGATGCCCTAATGACCAATGTGACTGTATTTGGATTACATCATATGGATGGGACCCTAATCCAATAGGACTGAAGTTTTTACAAAGAGACACCAGAGCCCCTGTCCATATGTCTATCTGTCTCTCTGCCCCTAACACACAAAGAGAAAAGGCCATATGAGGATGCAGTGAGAAGGAATATGTTCACAAGCCAGGAAAACATGCCTCAGTAGAAGACAATCTTGCTAGCACCTGCTAGCCACCACAACTGTGAGGGAAAACAAATTTCTATTGTTTAGGCCACCGAATAAATTGGAAAACCCCAAGTTTTTTGTTTGTTTGTTTAAGTTGTAGATAGACACAATACCTTTATTTATTTATTTTTATGAGGTGCTAAGGATCAAACCCAGTGCCTCTACATACTAGGCAAGCACTCTTCCCCTGAGCCACAATCACAGCCCAACCTATGTGTTTTGTAGGAACTGATAAAAACCAGTATGCTGAAATGTAAAGAGCAATGGAGATAATAATACGTCAAAGACTCTCAAGCCCACAAATGATAGATGAACCTGAAATAAAATAATAAAAAAATAGTTCCTGGTAGGAAGGTTTGAGCTCATGGATAAATGGACTTGAAAATATTTGGTGTGAGTTTTTTTCCCAGTGACTGAAAGTCATTAACACAGTTACAGAGGCCACTATAGTCCACCATGGAATGTACGAACAGTTCCACACAACAAATAACTGTTAATAAAATGTTAACTGTGCCCTACTGAATGAAAAACAATGGCTAATACATATGCTATTTATTCAGGAAACTACAGAAAACTAAGATTTGGCCCTTTTTAGTGGTCTTTTTTTAACTTCATTTTTATTTTTTAGCTGTAGTTGGTGCAATACTTTTATTTATTTTTAGGTGGGGCTGAGGATTAAACCCAGGATCTCGCACATGCTAGCTGAGTGCTCTACGGCAGAGCCACAGCCTCAGTCCTTTTTAGTGGTTCTTATACAACCAAAGATGGTTCTGACCTAATCCTGGTAATTAAATATGTATTAATGCCTATGTGCAAGAAATGATGTTGGATATGGAGCATAAGCAAATGAATCAGACACTAATCCTAGGCCTAAGAGTCAGAGTGAAGAGATATGATACCACATTTCTTTCTTTCTTTTTTTTTTTGGGGGGGGGGGAGGGTGAGGGAGTACCAGGGATTGAACTCAGGGCACTTGACCACTAAGCCACATCCCAGCTCTATTTTGTATTTTATTGAGAAACAGGTTTTCACTAAGTTGCTCAGCACCTCACCATTGCTAAGGCTGGCTTTGAACTCGCAATCTACCTACCTCAGCCCCCTGAGATGATGGAATTATAGGGGTGTGCCACTGTGCCCAGCATGATACTATATTTCATCAAATTAAAGTACTATCCATTTTAAAGGCATCATTTTATATACCACTAAGATGGAATAACACCAAGTAGACTATGACATCAATTTTAAGATATAATTAAACCTTAAAATATGGAGGGGGAAAATATATATATGTGTGTATTGATACTGGGGATTGAAGCCAGGGTGCTCTGAAACTGACCTACATCCCCAGCTCTTTATATTTCTTATTTTGAAACAGGGTCCAAGTTGCTGAGGCTGTCCTCAAACTTGTGATCCTCTTGCCTCAGCCTTCCGTGTTGTTGGGATTACAGGCATATGCCACTATGAGTGGCTTAAAATATACATCTTAAATAAATGAAAAAGAATATGAAAATAAATAGCTAAAATGGAAAGAGCTGGAGAAGTCACACAGGAGCTCACAGAAAGGATAAAATATATCCAGGTCTGATAACCAGGGAGCACTTCATGTAGTAGGGCATATTTAAGTCCACTTTTGAAAAAGATGGAAAGACAGAGATTGAAGGAAGGAATATTTTCAGAATGAGGGAAATGCCAGCAGTAAGGATTAGAAGTAATAAAATGAGAGATTGCTACAGAGAAATATTTATAGAGACACACTGTTAAAAGCCAGAATGACCAGGATTAGGGGAACCTTGAATGTAGGTAGGCTAAAGAGGCTGAAATTGGCACAAAGGTTGGAGGAATCACTGTCAAACACTTTTTTTCAACCTAATACATTTTAGGGCAATAATATACATAAAAAAATTTGATTCAGGTTATATTTTAGGAAAGATAATTCAGTAGAATTGTATAAAAATAAATGAGAATTAGAATAAAGACCAAGAATCTGCATAAGAAACTGACCCTCCAAATAAGAAGTTAAACATATCTACATTTGATTAGTTACACTTGGAAAAAGATATGGTGGAACTATTTTAACAAACAGAAAAAATAAAGGAATGAAAAAGTTTATGCTCAAATAAGAACAAGTGCATTCTTGTTATGTTGGTGAGTCACTCAGGTGATGTCCAACAGGGATCCAAGATGGTAAAGAATGAAGAAGTTGAAGTCTAGAAAGAGACCATCATCCAAAAAGAGGTAAACTCATAATTTAGATGAAACTCCAAAAAGGAGGCAAAAGAAGGTACTACAAGTAAATATTTTTGAGGTGAGCATGCATTTAAAGCACTTAATTGCCTTATTACAAGTAGTTGTTTTCATATCTTACAATAATTTTACATTGACTCTTTATTGCTAATTTGAACACTATAAATCTGCAATGCAAACATGCACAGAATTATAAAAAGCAATACAAAAAACAAGGCATTTCATTAATTTTCAACCTCCCACTTATGTGTGCGCATTTATAAGCTTAGTAAAAATAATAATCCACATGTATGAAAGCAGCTGAAAATAATAAAGGTATTGATGTAATTATAGAGAATTAATATTTCATTTCCTAAGCAGTTTTAGCATGAACATTCAGTTATTCAGGTTGATCTAAGAATAATTGTAGTTATATTATCAAACTATCTAAAAAAATTTGTTTTGAAAACAGCATATTTAAAAATCAGCATTTTTAAATTAGGCAATTTTTCAAGTATTTTTAAAGCATAAAGGCAATGCCATCCTGTACACACAAAAGTGAGGTCTCAAGTCACACACAGAATAAGAAGAAAAATCTGTAAGTCTATGATGTTAAAACTTAATTGCACTGCAAACACACCAAGGGTCTTCAATTAAATTCTATTCATTTTGACTAAAATATTTTTTGACAAACTGTCCTCAAGAGTGATAGAGTGAGGGTTGAAGGAAAGGAAAGAAAAAAGGTAGAAAAGAAGAAATGGAAGGAAGAAAAGGGAAGGAGAAGCAACTCAGTAGAGCTAGCTAACAGTCTATAGGTGGTGAATACCATCCTGGTGCCCCAAAACAGATTCACTAAGCAAAGACAAGGAAGGAAATGGGTTTGTAATGGAAGCTACCATGACAGAGACTGTTGAATATCATATGGCCTGTCTAACTGTGCATATATTTTTTCAAAATATATGAATGCCAAAGGAATCTGATAAGGAAGAAGCAGACTACCTGTTAGCCAAAGTAAACAGCACAAAATCTGTATTCTGTACAAATGCTTGTATGAACTGAGAAGACAGATATTGAAGTATCATGTTAACAGCTTGTCAAAACATTTCTTGTGTTACTACTATATGACTGATTTTGCATTAGCAGATTCTCTCAAAGGAAAAAAAAATCAAGTAACATTTTAAAATTACATACTGCACAATAACACTACAATTAAATTTAAACAGAGCAAGAAAATTTTTTTTAAAATGTGAAATACCTCAGTCTGACCTTCATGGGCACTGGTCTCATGAGTAACTCGAATAGCCTGTAATAAGAATACAAGGTATTTATAGAAACAAATGACTGTATCCACTTTTTAAAATGAAAACAATAACAAAGCTAAAGGTTAACACTGAAAGTCTTTTAAAGAAACAATAAATTGGAGGAAATTTAAGAATAGCTTATTACTAGATATTTCAGAATGATAACTGAGCAAAGAAATGAACTGCTGAACTTTTTACCCACAGACCTCTGAAGACTTAGAAAACAGAATGTATGATTATGTATAATTTCCTTGGTGTAAGCAGGGGTCATTGAACTTATTTGTTGGAACACCTAACACTTTATTCACTTGAGAGAGAATAAAGTGAGCATCTCAGAGAGAAAATGAAGAAGCTTATCTATTTCTCCAAGTTCCATGCAGCTCTGGCTGTATATGCTTAAACGTGCATTTTTCAGTTGACAATTTAGAAATGTGGAGTAAAAAGCATGCATTTATCAGAAGCTAGAGAATTTGGTTCCCTGACCTTTAAAAAACAAAAAATGCTCTTGTAATACCTATGATCAGCAAAGATGCAGAGATGCAATAGTAAACTGTAAGTGAAAGTACAATCTCTATGAATGGCAATTTGGCAACAAGTATCAAAGCCTTAAAAATATGCAAACTAGGGCAGGGGATGTGGCTCAAGTGGTAGCACGCTTGCCTGGCATGCGTGCGGCCCGGGTTCGATCCTCAGCACCACACACAAACAAAGAAGTTGTGTCCGCCGAAAACTAAAAAATAAATATTAAAAATTCTCTGACTCTCTCTTTAAAAAAAAAAATATGCAAACTATATGCTCCAGCAATTTTTCTTGCAGGAATTTATATATTTACATAAGTGTACATTATAATATATAATTAAGGATGTTTGCAAAGATTTAGTTATAATGATGTACCTTACAATATTTTTTTAGATAGTGAAAAAGAGGGGGAAAACTATTAAATTTCTAAGAATATTTAACTGGTTTAAAAAAAAGCTATATAATGGAAAGATATGCACAATTAAATGGTAATGCCAATTACATATTTACTGGTATGTAATATATTTTTAATAAGTTAAAAAATCAAGTTACAAAAAAGTATCAATCACAGTGTGATCAATTTTTTTTTACATATTTATTTTTTAGTTGTAGTTGGACACAATACCCCTATTTCATTCATTTATTTTTATGTGGTGCTGAGGATCAAACCCAGGGCCTCACGTGTGCTAGGTGAGCACTCTACCACGTAGCCACAACCAGCCCTCAAATTTTTTTAAAAAATATTGTATATATACATATATGCTCCCTATAAAAATTACTAATGGTACCTATCATTGGAGGGATTACTGATAACTTTCATGTTGTTCATTTATTTTTATTTTTTATTTTTGGTCCTGGGGACTGACTCCTAGAACCAACTTGTTCATTTGCTACAGCCTTCATTGATAAAATAAAAGAATGACAAGAACTGATATTTCTTCTAACACTATTATAATGCTATCTATGAAATGATACAGTTATTTAAACTAGATTATATGGCCTGGCTATTCTAAAACAAAACATGGAACCTGTTTTTTCCTTTCATGTTTAGCCTTCTTCCAAATTCTCAGTGAAAGACACATAGGATATTGCCAAGCATGTATTTATGATAAATATGGAAAGGTAAGGAATATTCAATCTTAAAATGCTTTATTAATTTGCAAACTCAATTTGTTTATTGAATTTTAGACACAGAAGTGGCAATTTATCAATATTTATGGATATTTCAGTTACCTGAAATATACCAAGACTTTTTTTAACTGATATGATAAATTCATACTTTGTCAGTACTGTGGTTTCAAGACAAATCCCCCAACAGAATCTATAATCCCACAAAACTTTGCCCATATATAAGATCAAGACAGAAAGAAGGTACCGACGTCATAGTTCTCGAGGTATCTGGCTCGTTCTTCAGGGCTCATTGACACTGACTCCTCCAGGAATTTTTTCAAGGTTGATCCAGATTCTGAGAATATCAAAAAAGATAAAATTGAAAATGTTTGATATCACAGACACTGGTAAATAAAGATAATAGAAATTTGCTATCATTCAGGGAAAATCCTTTCATTGGTAAGTTAGGAATATAAGAATTTTGGGATAAATGATAGGGCCTAAGTCATATGTTCATTTGCTAAAAGCCTCGATTAATAAAATAAAATAGCAAGGACTAATATTTCTTCTAACACTATAATAAATTCCCATTACAAAAGAGAGAAGGGAAATGTTTTATTCTATAGTTTGAAAAAACAGAATTAGAGCACCCTCTACTGCTCAATGAAATTAATCTATCTTAAGGGAGAAAAACAGCAGTAATGAAAAGTATTTACCAAAGTGCATCTTGTCTTTATTGTTCGCAATAGCATGGATCAGTCCAATTGTTCCACAGGCATTGCTGATTGTTTGCTTCATGAAATATACTGATGATGTAACATCCTGTCCCTGAGATTTTATTTTTTCCTCCTCTTCTGTTCTGAAAACTTCATACTATTTTAAAAAAGATCAATAGTGTACATGTAAGAAAGAACACATTAAAAAGGACTCTATAAAGGAAAAACAGAAATGATGAAACTTATTTTAAAGGAAGAAAAGGGCCAGCACAGTGGTGCACACCTGTAATCCTAGCTATTTAGGAGGCTGAGGCAAGACTGCAAATTCAAAGCCAGTCTCAGCAATTTAACAAGGCCCTAAGCAACTTAGCGAGATCCTGTCTCTAAATAACAAATAAAAAAAGGGGCTGGAGCGGGGGAACAGGCTGGGATGTGACCCCGTGCTGTGATAAAGCATTCCTAGGTTCAATCTCTGGAACAAAAAAAAAAATACAGTAAAATAAAATAAAAGGTTTAAAGTAAAAGAATTAATTTATCATCTACCAGACTAACAAAAGATTGAATAACAATATGCAGATAATATCCAGTAATGATAGGACATGAGGAAAAAGGCATTCTCATATGCCATTATTAGAAGACATTTGTACAGCCATGCTTGAGGATTAAGTATACACATTCTCCAACAAGCAATTTCCTTTACAGAAGTTTGGTTTAAGACATAATCTTTCAAATGTACAATTAAGGGTGGCAATGTAGCTCAATACTTGATGCTTGCCTAGCATGTGCAAGGACCTAGGTTGGATCCCTAGTTCTACATAAGAAAAATATATATGTTGTATCACTTTAAGATGTTTTTTGTACAATTATATGTATGTACATATATAATTGTGTGTGTGCTACACAGTTTTAAGAACATAAAGTAGAAAAATTCTAATTCTAGCTTTGGTTAATATATTATAGTATATATAAATAGAATACTATAAAGCATTTTAAGATGAATAAATTATAGATCTACATATTCTGATCAAAAATCTATATATAATTATGATGTTATCAGTCAACATATTAATGTGATTTCCATTTATATTTTTAAAATATTTACTTTATATGTGCATTAAAAAGTCTGAAAGGGGCCTAGCTCAGGAGAATGAGGCAAGAGGATCATGAGATCAATGCCTGCCGCAGCAACTTAGCAAGGTGAGACCCTGTCTCTAAATAAAAATACAAAATAGGACAGGGGATATGCTCAGTGGTCGAGTGTCCCTGAGTTCAATCCCTGGTAACAACAACAACAAAAAAGTCTGAAAGGTATAAAAAATTTAAGAGGTTATCTTTAGGCCAAAAACAGTACTAAAAGACTTTTCACTTTCTAATTTTTACATTTTTTATTGTTCACCACCAGCGAAACCATATTCCCTTTTTGATAACCATACTATATGAACAATCATACACTATCCATAATTAACATTCTCAGAGATCTACAATAACTGGTTATAAAAGCAATCTCACATAATGATAAATATCAAAACTGTGGGCTCTACAGCTTATGGTACCTGGGCCCATAACCTGGCTCAGCCATTCTTAGCTATGCGATTTCAGCAAATTACTTAATGTCTCTGAACCTCAATTTCCTGATTGCAAAAAAGGGTTTAAAAATAATAAAAGAGAATGAAAAAATGGGAGAGGAGAAGAAAAAGGCAGAGAATATAAAGATGATTTTATTGTTTTATTTATTGTATTTCTATAATTTTCAGATTTCAATAAGGTAGGAATCAGCAAATTATAAAACAAATGCTAAATCTGCCCACTGCCTGTTTTGTAGCTACTTTCAAGGCAAAGTTTAATAGCTGGAACAGATTCTAAAGCTTCCAAAGACAAAATAATTATTATATGGTCCTTTATAGAAAAATCTTGATGATCCCTGTAATAAAGGACACAAATGGTATCTATAGAAAACAAGAATTTAAAAACTGGTTCTGGGCTGGGGTTGGGGCTCAGCAGTAGAGCACTCGCCTATCACATGCAAGGCCCTGGTTTCGATCCTCAGCACCACATAAAAATAAATAAATAAAGGTATTGTGTCCAACTACAACTAAAAAATAAATATTAAAAACTGGTTCTGTGTGGCTGGGATTGTGGCTCAGCGGTAGAGCGCTCACCTAGCACGGGCGGGACCCAGGTTCAATCCTCAGCACCACATAAAAATAAAGGCATTGTGTTGTGTCCATCTACACCTAAATAAATAAATTAAAAACAAATAAATAAAATAAAAACTGGTTCTAAAGACAAATGTATGTATGCTTTAAAAATATGAATTTCATGGGCTGGGGATATGGCTTAGTTAGTAAAGTGCTTGCCTTGCATACACAAGGCCCTGGGTTTAATCCCTAGCACCCCCCCACACACACACACTATATATATATGTATGTATGTATGTATGTGTGTGTGTGTGTGTGTATATGTGCATATATATATATATATATATAATTTCATGAATGTGCTTTTATTTTTTTTTAATATTTTTTTAATTGTTGATGGACCTTTATTTTATTTATTTATATGCAGTGCTGAGAATCAAACCCAGTGCCTCACACATGCTAGGCAAGTGCGCTACCACTGAGCCACTACCCCAGCCCCGATGAATGCGTTTTTAAATAAAAAATTTAAGCTACGTTTTCAGAATAAGTCAACCTTAATTCACTGAAAGGAAATTAACTGACAAGAACTGTGGAAAGGTTCCATATATTAAGGTCTTAATACCAAAATGTTTATACGGTCCTACAGTTTAGTTTGTTGATTAATAATGTTCTTTATTGACAAAACAAAATAAGATCTGATAATTTCTAAATATTTAATGTTTAGAAAAAAATCCTAAAATAATAAAAAAGTACAAAAAAAAAAAAAGAAAGAAAAAAGAAAGAAAGAAAGAAAGTTATCATAGACCAAAGGAAAAAGAACACATAGGGGAAAGAGGCAAGAGACATAAATACCACGGAGAAATAAAATTATGACTTCTTTATGATTCACTGCCTGGCAAGTATTATTATAAAGAACATATTCAAAGCCTGGGTTGTAGCTCAGTGGTAGCACACTCGTCTTGCATGTGTGAGGCACTGGGTTCGATCCTCAGCACCACTTAAAAATAAATAAATAAATTAAATAAATAAATAAATAAATATTTATTTATTTATATAAATAAATATATAAATAAATATATATAAATAAATAAATATATTTATTTATTTATATATATTATATATATAATATTATATATATAATATATATATTATATATATAATAAATATATATATTTATTTATACATATATATATATATATATATATATATATATATAAAACATATTTAAACACCATAACTGACTTTATTTAAAGGGCAAGAAATATACATGACAATTCCCCTGCTATTAGTATGCTTTAGTTATTCCCTACAAAATTTTAAGAAGCATCAAAGCTAGGCACAGTGGCTCAGGCCTGTAATTCTAGCAACTCCAGAGGCTGAGGCAGGAGGATCTCAAGTTTGAGGCCAGCCTCATCAGTTTAGTGAGACTCTTAGCAATTAGGCAAGACACTATCTCAAAATAAAAAACAAAAAAGGACTGGGGATGTAGTTCAGTGGTAAAGCACTCTTGGTTCTAATTCCCAGTAACAAAGCAAAAAAAAAAAAAAGAGTGGCAAAAGTGGCAAATGCCCAATGTTCTCTCTGATAAGCTGATGCTGATCCATAATGGGGGAGGGCAAAAGGGAGGAAGTATGGGGGCAGGAAAGAAAAGGAAATGCAATGGATATTATTACCCTAGATACATATATGACTGCATGTAAGGTGCAGTGCTACAATTGTATACAATGTGCTGCAATTGTGTACAATGAATCAAAATGGGTTGATAAGGATAATACAGTTTTTTAATACTGATGACTCAACCAAATGAAGGAAATCAAATCTTGCTTTTAAGAAAAAAATAATTAGTTTATTTATTTATTTTTATGTGTTGCTAAGAATCAAACCCAGTGCCTCACACATGCTAGGCAAGCACCTGTCACTGATCTACAGCCCCAGCTCCAATTTTTGTTTATTTTTTACCAAAATAGTAGCTAATAAAAATCACCGGTCTGGGGGCTGGGATTGTGGCTCAGTGGTACAGGGCTTACCTATCATGTGTGATACACTGGGTTCAATTCTCAGCACCATATATAAATAAGTAAATAAATGTCCATTGACAACTAAAAAAAAAAAAAAAAAAATCACTGGTCTGAGAAATTTCTAATTAGACAAAACTCATTTTGAGCTCATATCACATCAACTAAGGAAGCCTAAGATTCAAGCATCTGATATTTTTTGTAATTTTTTACTGCTCTTTACAATTAGGCCCCTGGGATAGTTATCTGTTGATTTATTTTAGTCATCAGAAAAGGAAGAAATCACATTGGACTAAAAGTAAAAAGTCAAGAGTTTGGTCTAACACTAGATAATTACTAAGAAACTCTTTACTCTAAATTCCTACAGATATTACAAATAATAATATGAACAAATAGCCTTCCTTTTATTAAATAATTTGTTTTGTAAAATGTTTATGCAGAAAAAATTTATTCAATGTTTATCTTAAACTGAGGCTAATTAGTTTATGGCACAAAGAAAATGATTCAGGAATTTCTAGGATTGAGCAAAGTTTAATTCTTAATTTCTTTGAGATTTGGATCTATCTGTTTCTGAGAAAAAGATTCCTTAAGCATGCACATGCCAAATCATTAACATTTCATTTCTTCCACATTTTCTCAAATATTTATGTCTTCATATTTTTATAACTACAAAGTTCATTTGATTGTTTCTAAGTTTAAAAATACATATCAGAAGAATACAAACGCAAAAATTGTTTTAAACTGCACTTTAAAGTTTTAACTCCACTATAGACACACCTACACAGACACATGACATCATTCTAGGAAGACTGCAATATGGAGACTTGAATTTCAATACAAAGATCTAAGAATATCTGTTTATAATCCCCAACATATCCTAAGTCTGCCGATTAAGCTATTTAACCTTAGCAATGCCCTCCCAAATAAAGTTTATTTTGAAAATAAAGAAGAATATGTCATCAATTTCTGCTATCACCTTAAAAAAAAAAAAAAGGAAGCCAGGCACATCCTGTAATCCCAGCGGCTCAGGAGGCTGAGGCAAGAGGATTGTGAGTTCAAAGCCAGCCTTAGCAAAAAGCGGGGCACTAAGCAACTCAGTAAGATCCTGTCTCTAAATAAAATACAAAATAGGGCTGTGGATGTGGCTCAGTGATCAATTGCCCCTGAGTTCAATCCCTGGTTCCTCGCACCCCGCCAAAAAAAGCAAAGAAAAAAGAAACAAAGGAGGTTTCTTCTTTAAAATATACTGAAAAAATCATGTATTTTATATATCAAAAACTTGAAGACAACTAAAAAAAAATGTACAATGAATCAAAATGCATTCTGCTGTCATACTGTTTTACACAGATTTAAGATTTCTCTAACACTTAAAATTTCTAAAGTACATACATCAAAATGTGATTAAATAATACATCAAAACACAATTGAGCTGGGCACAGTGGCATACACCTGTAATCCCAGCTACTTGAGAGGCTGAGACGGATCATAAATTTGAGGCCAACCTGGGCACTTAACAAGACCCAGTCTCAAAAATAAAAAATAAAAAAGGGCTGGGGATTTAGCTCAGTAGTACAGTGTTTTCCTAACATTCATGAGGCCCTGGAATTGCTTTCCAGCACTGGGAAAAAAAAAAAAAAGATTCCTTCACTGCCTACATCGACTGTATGCAAGAAGGGCAACACTTAAAGACTTTCATCAATTAATAAAAACCCTTTATATATCTTTATATTTATCAGAAACTTAGTATGTTACTTGACAATTACCTTTTCTGTAATAGGGAAGAGAAGTAACACTGCACAGACTGGTCTTGGCACCATGCTAAGGAGTTCAGGATCCATTCCGTAAACATCGACAAACTGCCAGTCAGGATGTAGACCTAATTGTTTGAGAAACTAATAAAAGAAAGGGGTAAAAAAACAAATAAGCATTAAAATGTTAACTGGTAAAAGAAAAACCAGCATAGCATTAACGGGGAAGTGAAATGATCAACAAGTACATACTACATATCAAATACATAAAAGGGAACGTAATACAAATATTAATGATGCCCAATAAGGATGTGGTAAAGCAGCATATATCAAAATACCAAGTATACATCATAAATACATGTAGTCTCTACTTATCAATTATACCATATCAAATGTGAGTGGGGGAAAAAAGCAGTAAATCATTCTTTCCATGAATAGAGTGGGATGAGACAGCAATTTATTTATCACATAACAAACATTTAAAATTCATAGAATATGAAACAAACTTCTTTTCAAAATCTATTACTTTGAAATTGAATATAATAAGCCAAATCTTAACCAAATACGTACAAGTTGGCTTGACTGATATGTTAAACTCATTTTCAATCCCTGATTATTTTCCCCCCAATATTGGGAATTGAACTTAAGGGCACTCTACCACTGAATACATCTCGAGCCCTTGTTATTTTCTATTTTGAGACAGGGTCTCGCTAATTTGCCGAGGCTGACCTTAAATTTGTGATCCTCCTACTTCAGCCTTTACAAGCACGTACCACCACACCAAGCTCTAGATAAGCTTAACAAGCAATGTAGTCAATTAAAGAATCTCTCTGGGCATGAAAGAACTTACAGAATGGGAGAAAATCTTTGCCAGCTGCTCCTCTGACAAGAGACTGATATCCAGAATATATGAATAACTCAAAAACTTTACCACCAAAAAAACAAACAACCCAACCAATAAAAAAGCAAGAGAATTTGGAGCTAGGATTGTGGCTCAGCAGTAGAGTGCTCACCTAGCATGTGAGAGGCCCTGAATTCAATCCTCAGCACCACATAAAAACAAAATAAAGGGGGCTAGGATTGTGGCTCAGCGGTAGATCACTCGTCTGCATGTGCGAGGCCCTGGGTTCAATCCTCAGCACCATATAAAAATAAAATAAACACAATAAAGATATTGTGTTCAATTACAACTAAAAAATGAATATTTAAAAAACAAATAAATAAAAATAAAGATGTGTCCAACTACAACTAAAAACAATATTTTTTTTAAAAAAGAGAATTTAACAGATATTTTCCCAAAGAAGAAACACAGCCAACAAATATATGAAAAAAATGTTCAACATCTCTAGCAATTAGAGAAATGCAAATCAAAACTACACTAAGATTTCATCTCCAGTCAGAATATCCATTATCAAGAACACAAATAATAATAAATGCTGATGAGAATGTAGGGGGAAAGGTGCACTCATACATCACTGGTGGGACTACAAATGGTATAACCACTCTAGAAAAGAGTATGGAGATTCCTCAAAAACTAGGTATGGAAACATCGTATGACCCAAATGTCCCACTCAAAAGAACCAAAATCAGTATACTATAGTGATACAGCCACTTCAATGTTTATAGCAGCATAATTCACAACAGCCAGATTATGTGATCACTCCAGATGCACGTCAATAGATGAATGGATCAAGAAAATGTGATATAAAAACACAATGGAGTTCTGCTCAGTCTCAAAAGAATAATGAAATGATGGCATCTGTCAGTAAATAGAGATGGAGAACACCATGCTAAGTGAAATAAGCCAGACTCAGAAAATCAAGGGTCAAATGTTCCCTCTCATATGTGACAACTAGAACAAAATAAGGGAAAGAAGATGGCAGGAGGAAAGGGGTAGGGGATTGAATATCATTAATATACATGAATAACTCAAAAAATTTACCACCAAAAAAAACCAAACAAGCCAACCAATAAAAAAGCAAGAGAATTTGGGGCTAGGATTGTGGCTCAGCAGTAGAGTGCTCAAAGGAGAAGGAGGAGATCAAGAAAGGAGGAGGAGGAATGGGAAAGGGGAAGAAATATGGAATGAATAACAAAATCCCATTATATGCTTCTGTAAATATACCATAGGAAATTTCACCTTCATGTATATGTATAAAATACCAATCAAAAATAAATAAAGGAGCAAAGGGAAGATCAGTAGAGTAGAGAAAGGAGACTAGGCAGAGGGAGCCAGGACTGAACAAAGATGATGCAGCATGAACTATGATATCAGTTCTGGGAGGCATACTTTATAAAGGTCAGTGACCAAGAGAAAGCGGCCCTAAGAAAGGTGACCAGGAAAAAGGTTTTGGAAGACATCAGAGTTGAAAATTATAGGCATGTTCAGACATCACTTAAATTATTGTGATCCATAACCCCAGATACTTTTAGCAATATCAAAGAAGAGCAATTAGATTAACTCTGTATGGTTTCAACGGGAGAACTGATTATCAACTAGAGGAAGTTATGGTAAAGCAGATTTTGTTTAAGTATAAGAAAAAAATATATAATTCTTCTAATTATATACTATTTTCATTACTATAATAAAAAAATTAAACCACCTTAGGAGACAGAATGCTGCTCATTAAAATATTCAACCAAAAATTCATACATTAAAAATAATTCTGGGAGGCTGGGGCTGTAGCTCAGTGGTAGAGTGCCTACCTAGCATGCATGAGGCACTGGGTTCGGTCCTCAGCACCATATAAAAATAAACAAATAAAATAAAAGCATTCTGTCCATCTACAATTACAAAAAAAATTTTTAAAAAGATAATTCTGGGAAAGATTTTTCTAGAACAGGAAAGCAGCTTTATGAGATCTACCTGTTGAGAACCCCCTATGAACCAGGCACTATTCTTGATACTTCAGAAATGTCCCTGCTCTCAAAGACCCTGTATTCTGGTGGTAAACAAGATAAACAAGTAAACATATAAACAAACAAGATAATTTCACAAAGTAGAAAGCATTTTGAAGAAAATAAAAAAGACTGGATGATAGTACAAATTTGAGGGGGATACTTTAAATGTGTTATCAGGAAAAGAAACACTGAGGAGATAAAGTTGAGCCACAGATGTCAGAAAAGAACCAACCGTGAATCAATCTAGACTACAATGATTCAAGAAAAGAATGAGGACGTGCAGACTCTGAAACAGGAACAAGCTCCTCAGTCAAGCGACACAGCATTGGCAGAGATGGAGAGTACCACTTCATCCCGTCACACGATAAGCTTGCATTGTATTCTAAAGACAAGCAGGGGGGAAGACCATTAAAGTATTTTAAGCAGGGAATCACAAGATGTAATTTGCATTTTTAAATAGACATTTTGGGTGTTTTAAATCCATGTGTGTGTTTTAAATGTGTACAGAGAACAGGGAGGCAAAAGGAAAAGCAGAACTAGTAAAAAGGCTACCATAATTGTCTAAGCTAAGGATAATGGTGGCTTGCATTATGGTAGCTGAAATGAAGAGAATGGACAGATTTGGGATAGATTTTGAAAGAAGAGTCTATAAGACCTACAGATCAATTGGATCTGAAGAATTAGAGGAAACAATTAAAAACAGCTAACATTCATGGAGTGCATGTTTTGTACCCAGACAATGTTTTGCACATTTTATATTTAGTAGTATGTTTAATCCTTATAACAATCTTACAAGATTAGGAGAGATTGTTAGAAATTTAAAAACTGAGGTACAAAGAGGTTAAATAACTATCTATCATCTCAGAACTAGTATATGGCAGAGATTTTAATCCAAGAAATCAAATCAATATACTATGATCTCTTCAAAATAGCACAGTCACAGAAGAATCAGTGACATCAACTGGAACACTGAAGAGATGATAGTACACTTAAAAGATTGAGGAAGAAATGGATTTAGAGGGAGGTAGGAAGATTAAAATCCTGATTTTTTTTCCATATTAAATTTGAGATGTCTATAAAGCATCCTGATGGAGATATCAAAGAGGTAGTTAAATACACAGTTTCCAATTCAATGGGGAGGTCAGGGTTTAGAGGAACATGGAGTCAATATGTGATAACTGATGGTATTAAAGCTATATAACACAAAACATCACTAAGGAAAAAGTGCACATATAAAAGATTAGTAGTCAAGGTTGAAGCCCTGAGGAGCTCCTCAAAAGGTAGAAGGGAAATGATCTAGTAAAGAAGATAGGAAGCAGGGCTGGGATCGTGGCTCAGTGGTAGAGTTGCATGTGTGAGGCCCTGGGTTCTATTCTCAGCACCGCATATAAATAAATGAATGAAATAAAGGTCCATCAACAACTAAAAAAAATAATTAAAAAAAAAGAAGATAGGAAGCAGTAAGAGAATTAGGCAAATCAGAATTATTAGAAAAGCCAAAAAAAAAGGATGCTAATTCAAGATGAATGGAGTGAGCTATACTCTACCAAATGCTGCTGATAAACCAAGAAATAAGATGACAGAACAGTGACCACTGGATCTGACAGAGTGGTGATCACTAGTAAATCTGATAACAGTAGTGACTATGAAATGATGGGAATAGAAGGAAGCTAGATAAGAGTGAATACAGAGGAAAAAAAGAGAGAGAGATGAGGAATAACAACAGCCTGAACAATTCTTTGTTGAAAGTTACAAAGCAGGGAAACAGAGACCAAGCAGGAGCTAGAAAACAACCAAGAATTTTTTTCCAAAGATTGAACCCACAAACTAGAGAATTCTATGTGTTTATGGTAATAATCCAACAAATGACCTCTCATTCTACCCTAAATAAAATTATTGTGCTATAAAATACATTTATGTTCCTTTGGATATTATGCTAGGAAATGTTACCCTCTCAATAAAATCACAATTAGAAATTATTCTAGGAGATTTCAATACTAAAAATAATTATTTCTAAAACAACAGTATTTTATATATATATATATGCACACACACACAAATGTGATATACATTATATATAATTTGCTGCGCTATACATAAATCACACCCAAAAAAATCACATGGAAAATCTAGTATGGCTGTATATGACATATGATAGTCCATATAATAGACTCTACTTCTAAAAAGAGTTACAATTCTTTTTTTATATTTAAAAAAAAAATTTAGTTATAGATGAACCCAATATCTTTATCTTGTTTATTTTTATTTATTTTTTATGTGGTGTTAAGGATCGAACCCAGTGCCTCACATGTGCAAAACAAGCACTCAAGAGTTACAATTCTTGATGCTTAATCATTTGTAATTTTTTGTTAGCATCAAGCTGCTTTTACCCCTTTAAATACATATGTAAATAAGGTAGAACTTAAAATGTTTATTATTTTTTTATCACTTTACTGATTTTATTCTAAGTAAGTTCCCATATGTGGCATGACAAAATATCCTTAAAAGGGGTTGTGAGCATACTAACCAATAAGAAAAGTCACTGCTTACCACATCTACTGAGATATATGATTACTAGCTCATGTCTAACAATTAACATGTTGACAAGTGATGGCCATTCCTATATAACACCAGGCATTAATACAGTATAAAAAAAGTATTTGCTCAAACTAAGAGTTAGTAATACATACAACTACCAGAGGTAATAGGGTAAGATCAAGATCAAGTAAGTTTCCTGATCCCATTAGGCTGAGAAAATAAGAATGGGGATGAATATTGTTATTGGAGTTTATTAATTCTTCAAATCTTAAGTCAGTTCATTCAATTTCTATTCACTTTCTATTCTCTGTTCTGCACAGGACACATTGAGAATAAAGAATCACAAAGATTTGGGTTAAAACTAGCCATTTCTTAGATGTATTTTATAGTTATATGAAGGTCATCTAGGAATAAGGCCCATTAGCACCAAAATCACAGAATGAGTTTCCAGTTATATAAGCTTATATGTCATTAAAACAATTGACAACACTATTTAGAAACAGTCATTTAATCTATTAATAGTTTTTTAATCGATTAATTGATTGACTTTTAAATGGCTTGGAAATATAAGGATAAGCTACTCTTAGTTGTAATATATTATCCTTTTTTATTGCTGATGATATGCTCTTGGTAATTATTTTGAGAGTCTGGGAATATTTTGTTGAAAACTTTTATACCCATGTTCATGAGTGATATTGGTGTATACTTTTTTCTTATGGAATATCTAATTTTAGTGTCAGGATAGTGCTGGCCATAAAATGGGTTGAAAAGTGTCTCCCCACTTTCACGTTCATGTAGAATTAGTATTATTTGTTCCTTTAAATGATCATCCCAAGAAAAGCATAAAAATTATTGGGAAAAAATGAACATTCATTGATTCATAATAAAAATCTCAACAATATAGGAAAAATTGGGAACATCACTATCTAATAAAAAGCACCTACTAAATACTTACAGCTGGCATATTTAATGAATGTTTAAATGTTTTCTAAGTAAGATCAGGGACGTGCCTTTCTCCATCATATTCAGCTTTGTACATGCAGTCCTAACCAATGGAACAGGGCAAGAAAAAGAAAGACATACAGAAAAGGAAGAAATAAAATAATCTATTACCTGGGCATGATGGCACATGGCTATAATCCCAGCAACTTGGGAGAATGAGGCAGGAAGATCACAAGTTACAGACTAGCCTGACTAAGTGAGACCCTGCCTCAAAAAATAAAATGGAATGGGGTGTAGCTCAGTGGTAAAGCACTAATACCACCCCAAACAAAAAATCTTTTCATAAATAACATGATTATCTATATAAATCCCAAGGCAGTTACAAAAGTGGAAGGGCAGGGGGAGGGTTGAACTAATAAGTGTATTTATCAAGGGAGCAGGATACTAAGATATTAAAAAAAATAATGTCTACATATAGCAATGGACAATTCAAAATAGAAATTCTAAACAGTACCAATAACAGCAGCAACAAAAATCACTAATTACATAATTATAAATCTAACATGTTGAAACTAAAAAACACTGATAGAAATCAAAGATGACCTAAATAAAACATGAGATGCACCTCCTTTATGGATTACATGACTCAATATTATTAAGACATTAACTTCTCCCAAAATACATCTATAGATTTGACACAATCACCATCAAAATTTTTTTATAGGACTTCTTATAGAAATTGACAATCTGATTCTAAGATTTATATGGAAAGGAGAAGTAACTAGAAGCCTGAACAATTTAGAAAAAGAACAAAGCTGGATTCATAATATTTGATTTGAACACTTGCTATAAATCAAAACAGTGTGGTAATGGTAAAAGAACAGATACATACATAAATGGCGCAGAAAAATGTCCAGATATACGGTAAACTGATTTTTCACAAAGATGTAAAAAGAATTTTGGATTTGATCTGAAAGAAATATGCTTCTTTCCCATGGCACTAAACCAGAAATTGCAAATACAGATTTCTTCAGCCTTAAGATTTTTCTCTTGGCAAAGGGGACAAAGTGTATTAGTGAAAAAATGATCAACAAATTTCAATGGGGGCTGGGGGGACAAATGAAAATTAACATCCATAGAAAAAGATACTAAAAGAATATTTGCTAGATTTTAAGTTTTCAATATTTCTAGGTTACTAACAAAATAAAAGTTGTGGTAATAATCACTTCAAAGGAGTATAATAAACCTAAATAAGAAGATAAAGAGGGTTGCTGCTTATATTATGTTAAACCCTATCTACTTTCCTTATATAAAGAATTTTCTGCAAGCTTTGAAAAACAAGAAATAATTATTAAAGTACATGATGAATCTTTATTCCTTGGTGATAAGAAAAATTAAGGGTAAAGAAGAGTATAGCACATGATAAACTAAGAGGGTAATATAAAGTAAACAAGCTGTTGAGAATGAAATAAATAGGAAAAGAGAAGACACATCTGAGTAAATCAAAATTTTTTACCTTATAGCACTTATTCTTTTAATTGAGTGGCTGGAAGATGTTTCCTCTTCCTCCCCAACCCCCACTCATCAATACCCAAAACAGACTTCAATAAGAGTGGCAGATGGCAAATAATGGTGTGGGAACTATTAAACTGTGCTTCCAAAGGCATGAAAAGTAACTAAATGTCCAGTTTCAAAAGCTTGGAAGGGAAAGGGGGCGTGGCAGGAAAGAGAAGTGACCTGATGGGGCAAGAGAAGATGATTGGAAGATGATTTCATAGTGCAGGAGGTGGATGAAATTACAAGGACTGGGTGGGCGAGTTTACAGAGCTTGGAGTCAGGAAGTGTTGGCAAATTAGTCACCCAGAAAGTACCGGAGTAGGACAATTATGGAATCGGCACTAGCAGGAGGCGAAACGAGGAGGAAGAGCAATAGGAAAACAAGGTGAGTCCCGCAAACCTCAGAGCCCGAGGCCCCAGGAAACCAGATGCCCGGGAAAAGGACTAGCGGAGGGGCTGAGACGTCAGGAGCATCTCCAGGAGCCAGGTGGCAGGGAGCCGGCCTGAAGGGGAGGACCCGCCCGCAGCCGAGTACGAGGGGCTTCGCGGAATTCAATCCCAGCATCCTGGGGAACGTGGAGGTGAAGTCTAGCAGCTAAGCTGGCCGAGAAAACAGAAAGGACTCCGAGGTCCAGGGCGACAGACACCTCACTCACCTGGTTGGTGACCTGAAACGAAACAGACAACACGACTTAGAGACAAACTGGCGCGGATTAGCTGCAGCAGCCTGCCTCCCTCTTCTCTTCCCGAGGCCCCCCGGCTTGGACCCCAGCCGTGCTCACCTCAGGATTGGCCTCCAGCGGCAGCCAGCGTTGACCCTCCATGGTCGCTCTGCCCTGCCCCTCTCCAGTTCTGACAGCCACCGCCGCCGCCGCTTCCGCCCCCGCGCGCCTTGACCTGGGACTGTCCAATCCGCCGCCCCGCCGGGGAGTGCCGAAGGACGAAGAAAAGCTCGACAACCTTCTCGCGACTTTATCACTCCCGGAAGAGCAAAAGCCCAAGCATTATATTTTAAAATGGTATACAATATAAAATTAATTTCTTTAAAAGGTGTTATATCCCTATTTGAGAAAAACATAATCTGAGTCCACTGAGTACTCCCCTCAAACTTGGATTCTCCCTATCCCAACTGAGCGCTTGTGTTCTACGCATGCGCCACGTGCTGGCCGGGGACCGCGTGTTCGCGGGAGCCCTCCCATTCTTGCTGGTCAACCAGAGGCGCTAGGGGGCGCGCCGATAAGTCCTATTCTGCCAGGGCCGGACCAGGTCACAAGGAATCTGAAGGTAGCTAGGCTAGAGGACGACGCGCTTGAGCCCTGGAGTCGTGGCCTGGTTGCTGTTGCTGTTGTTTGTGAGGGTGCAGAAGTAATGCATTGGCCTTTTCTGCTACGCAGAGTGGTGTGTGTGTGTGTGTGTGTGTGTGTATCCTGTTAGGCTTGACAAAAAATGTTGGAATACCATACTCAATTAGACATTATACTAAGTGTTGGGACACAGAACTGAGTATGCTACAGTGTACAGTAGGTGGACAAGAAAATTGTCACAATAAAGCGTGATAATATAAGGCAATGATAGCATAAGGTTCGCTAGCCCTACAGGTAGAAGTGCAGTTAAAGGGGAAAAGGAGTGTCCAGAAAACTGTCCTGGACACAGTGAATTCCTGGACTGAATCCTTAAAAAATAATAGACAGTAACCCAGCAGAGAAGAGGGTACTCTGAAGAAGGGAATTGGCATTGTGGCTGCAGAGCCTGCTAAAATAAATGATATTGGTGATGCTAGAGAAATAAGCAAGGGCAACTGAAACAAGACATCTGGACTTCATCCTTATAACAGCAGGGAAACGCCAAAGGATTTTTTAAAAAAATATTATTTTTTTATTATAGGTGGACACAATAACTTTATTTTATGTAAGGCTGAGAATCAAACCCAGTGCTCCATGCATGCCAGGAGAACGCTCTGCCTCTGAGCTACAGCCCCATCCCGGAAACACCAAAGGATTTTAGAAGCATTTTTAATGTCGCTTCTCCAAGGAACTGTAAATTCCGAAGGCGAACTGTAATGTCTTTTTTGTTCTTCATGTTATTTCCTCAGGACTTAACCCAGTGCATATATATATATATATACCAGGGATGAGTAGCATAATTAGGGCTAGGGATGTGGCTCAAGCGGTAGCTGCTCGCCTGGCATGCGTGTGGCCCGGGTTCGATCCTCAGCACCACATACAAACAAAGATGTTGTGTCCGCCGAAAACTAAGAAATAAATATTCTCTCTCTCTCTCTAAAAAAAAAAAAAAAAAAAAAAAGAATAGCATAATTAGATATGCAGAAATAGCATTTGTCAATAATGTGAAATTTTGCAAAAGATTAATGCTGAGAGAATAAAGGCAGTAGTCATGGAGCTAAAGTTGCTCATGTTCTACCCCTTGGTTGAGAAGGAGTCCTCAGTGATGATTCCAGAAATTTTGCCTGGGATTGAGTGAATATTATCACTCTGTACCCAGAAGAGGGAATTCAGGGAGAAAGGAGCAAGGGAAAAGGATAAAGATAATTTTATTATACTGAGCTTGCCTTCCTTGAGGAACTTCCAACTCTCCCATTCATGTTCCTATAACTACTGTTCTTCCATTCACTGGCATTTCCAGTCCTCGGCTACTCTTTCTCCTTTTCTATCCGATAGATTGCTGCTGTATCCATTTAACACTGTGACTTGGTAAACCTGGCAATGTCCAGCTCATGATCATTTGAGTTGCATGGTCAGGCTCTTGGTCTCTACTAGGGCCCAGTAACATATCAGGGGCTAAATTTTCAAATGTCTTGGTATTGTAAGAAAAGCTTTGCTCCAGAATGCTGAGGTTCTACTATATGACTCTCTTATCAGTATTTGCCTAAGATTCCACATAATATCCTTATCTACTGTAGACATCTCTCTCACTATTGAGACAAAGGAGTGAGATAAAGGGTCAAATATCGAGGCAACTTTCATCTCAGTATGGATTGTCCTGCTCAGGAACCTTCTGAAACTGGCAGTCTTCTAAGTCACACAATGAATGTGTTGGAGCTATCTTCCCAAAAGTGGTATACACGGTCTCTAAAAGCCAAAGAGACCCACCAAGTACTCTGCCATTTTCCTATTAATAAAGAGATAGGTTAGAGAGGTTGTCCTAGCATGCCCCAGAACTTTGGACACCTAAAACTTTACAAATGTAGCAGGCCTCTAATCTTAATATGCTTTAACTTCCACCTTCTGGCATTGAAATACCTACCATGACATGAAGGGCAGTGTTTCTTCAACTTGAATGTACATGCAAACACCTGGGGAGCCTGAAATGCAAGTTTCTGATTCAATAAGTCTGAGATGGGGCCCAAGATTTGCCATCATTGGTGCCAATTTTTTTAACCCTCTCTTTATTCTTAGTCCTTGCCATATAACTTTGGAATTTTTTCTACTAGGGGACAAATTCATGATTAGTGGGGTCTGCATTTTTAATTTGTCTTACTAAAATGTATCTAAAACTCAGGAATCAACATTCCAAGTACTTCTGCAGTCATCCACACATGCACAGAGTGGCAAATGAAAATTGAGGTTAAGCAAGGCCATACTCTGCCTTCTTGTTGCAGTTTTCATACCGGAAACTAGTGCCCATCTTTTGATCTATTTAGTGTTACATTTTCCTCATTTTTCTGCTTTTTGTAAGTGATTTCAATGTTTATAAAGTCCCTGCTTGTAGTTCCCAAGCATAACGATGAAGTACTGCCTATTGTTTCAAAGTATAAGAAAACTATGATGTTTCTTGCAGAGAAAATAAGTTTGTTTAGATAAGCTTATTATAGGCTTTGAGTTATGGTATTGCCAGCCATAGTTTGGTGTTAATGAATCAACAATATATATTGTAACTTTAAAGGGAAATGCCCATAAAATAAGGTTATGTATTGATCAGCTAATGAAATGTGGACAGAGGCTCCCAGAATCTAAACTATTTCCTTAGGAGCAGTGGTTCTGTTGGTATGCATAATATCATCATAATGGAATTTTTTAATTAAATATTTTACAATTTTATAATAAATATTGTGGCATGCCTATACATACTGTCATAGAGACTTGCCATTCATTTATATAAATCCATGCACTTGCACTTTCAGTTGCCTTAGGAGTATAATTTTCAGGGGGGAAACTGGGAATTTAAGCCAGGGGTGCTTTACCACTAAGTAACATCCCCAAACTTTCTCTTTCTTATTTTGAGACAGGATCTCAGTAAGTTGTTGAGGGCCTTGTTAAGTTGCTGAGGATGGCAAGTTTGATTGCAAGATCAAACTTGCACTCCTCCTGTTTCAGCCTCCTGAGTTGCTGGAATTATAGGTGTGTGCTACCACACCTGACAATAGCAATATAATTCTAATGGTTGCCAAAGAACATCAGGATTTATCATCATTTTATCACATAGTTTCATTTATTTTTCAGTAACTGATAAAACATACAACCTCAGAATTCAGTAGTTTCCATTCAAAGACAGAAAGAAGTTTTGACATATTAATGTTTGATGCCTTAACAAGAGTACTTGAAACTTAGAAACTGCTGTCTCATCCTTATAAATTCACTTTTTATTTTCTGAAAGATTTGGTTATTTCTTCACTCTTAAACTGAAATTAGCAACTATTTTGCTTTATCTATTATTAAAGCAAAAATCTGAGATTAGTTAAATTTAACAAAGTTCATTTAAGCAAGAAAAGATTCTACAACCAGGAGGCATTCTGGACCAGTTGGTTCAGAATGCCCCATACCACCACATGTGCACATTACATTTTTTGTAAGAAAAATCAAAGTGACATACCAAAACAACCTGATTAGCTGCAATTGGCATTTGACTTATAGGGTGATGAGACATTTGCTTTATTTGGACATAGTTTTATAATTTTGCCACCTGTGGTTGGCTAACACTTGATTGCTCGGTTACAAGGGTACACTCTTAGGTTACAATTTGTCTACAGGTCAAGCTAGGGTATAGTTCACTATTTACAGAGGCCACTTTAGGTCAAACTTTATCGCTCAAGCATGGAGACAAATTGAGGTCCAACTTAAACTGAGTTTAACACTACTCAAAGCTATCCACTTCTTTTTTAAAAAATATTTTTTAGTTGTCAATGGACCTTTATTTTATTTATTTATATGTGATGCTGAGAATCAAATCCAGTGCCTCACACATGCTAGACAAGCACTCCACCAGCAAACCCCCAGCCATTACCCACTTCTTTTGAAAATTGTAAATTATTTAGTTGCTTTGCAAGAAAACATAGAATTGTGATCATTCCTCCAATAATCCATATCTGTTTCATCAATACAATTTAAAACACACTGTTCTGTTTTCATGCCTATTTCTACAATGGATATTTTTGTTATGTCAAATCACAGCATAATCTTTTTAAAGATAATTTGAATGGCAATTATACATAATAAGTATAGAGGCAGTAATAATCATGACTTAGTAGAAGTGTTGAAGAGCTATGACCACATTCAGGCACACCTGCAAAAACAACTGAGTCACAAGTGCTGCTTGGGTGAAGAAGCCATCTGATGCAACATGCGGTAAAATTTCTTGAGGTGTTAATGTGAAAACAAGAACGTTTAAGAATTGATGAAATGCAGTATGAATTTCATGTGAAAGTTTTCTAAATGCATTAGAGGTTCTGATATAACTATTTTGCTTTCTTTGTGGTTATTAATATGTGAGTAGGCCAGACTTTGCCCAAAAGC